CCCCCCCCCCCCCCCCCCCCTGGGCGGAGTGAGACTCTGTCATATTGTTGGACAGCCAATAGGTGACACTGTAATATGTGTACAGTACAGCAGCCAATTACTGGCCTTCACTCAGCCAGTGGTGCATGCTGGGACAGGCTACATATATGGGTGGGAGCTGCCATGGGGTCTCTCTCACTGGGACCAGCCATGGATTAGGGCTGGGTCCTGTTCAGCCTGCCCCCCAGGCTAGGCCGAGGCCTGGGGGTGGGCCGTGGCTGAAGTGAGGGAAGAGGTTCCCTGAGACCTTCAACATGGAGGAGGCCTGAGAGATGGAGAGAGGAAAAGAACCAGCACCAGTACAGGCTCTTGAAGTGCCCTGGATCTATGTGGACTTCAGAGCATGGTCAGTGTTTCTTTCCTGGATTGTGGAGCTGCATTGCTACTTTCACAAGATCAGGTGAGTCTGCAGCTGAGGATGGTTACCCCTAGACACCTAGAACCCTCTCTCCCTAAGAAGATGTTCAATAAAATGTTCAATTAGCATCATACTACTGAAGTGGACATCAATTTATGGGCACCAGAAGTGGGCGGTTAGTGCTAATGGGCGCAGCTGGAAATCAACCCCTAGACCGACTAGATGTGGACCGGGCAAACAGCGGCTCCCTGGGGGGAGTTATCGCTACCCAATCATTCTGCAACCTTGGATGAAGACAAACAAATGACGTTCACATTTTACAGTATATTAGGCTTTAGAGGCACAAAAGGCATTCTGTTCTCTTAGGACATTCTCTAGTACAAGAGAGAACTTAAAGGAGAACTATGGGGTTAAGCAGGACTGTCTTTAACGCAGGGCAAAAAGGGCAGTTGCCCCGGGCCCAGTCATTGCTGTGGGGCCCAAAGCAGCTGCCCATTGAGCCAGCAAAAGATACACATGGGTACCGTTCTGTTTAATATGCAATCCGCATCACATACTGTTGTTCTGCCCCTGCCGTACGCTGTGTGACCTTGTGATGTCTCATGTGGGGTCACCTCTTACTTGGGGTCACGTCTCCCTTTGAGCTGTCTTCTCCTATCTGCTTCTGTCACATGGTATGGGCCAGGGCGTGGTGGGTAGGGGCGGGTGAAAGCCCAAAAATGTTTTTGCCCAGGGTCCAATCAATATTAAAGATGGCCCTGGGGTTAAGGCTTTTCCCCATAGTTCTCCTTAGGGTAACGGGAGGACACAAATAAAAATTAAGAAAAAAAAAGTAAAAAATTATAATAAAAATAAAAAGGTGATAAAAAAGTAAAAGAGTAAAAAATTATAAGATTTGAAAAAATTATAAAAAAAGCAAAAGATAAGATAAATAAAAATGTAAAAGAGTAAAAAACATTTTTTCTTTAAATTATAAAAAAAGTAAAGAAAAAAATGTTTAACTAACCCTGCGCCCCGCCATCTTGTTGCCATTCTCCATTGGGAGGAGGGTTTGGCGGGGAGGGGGGGTGTATAGAAGAACCTGGCCTTGGGGCAGCAGAGAGAGTAAATCCGGCCCCAGCCTTAAGGACAAAACTATCCTAGAACAACAATACCTAGGTGCACACATATCATCATGCATTAGGGCTGAAGAGAAGGCACCAAGAAGCAACGCAAACCTATCTGCTCAGAGGGACTGTGAAGATTCTCATTCATCCAGGTCACACGGTATATCTGTATAAAGTAAATCAAGGCAACTGGACTTGCTGTATTTTTCTTGAAGACGTTTCGCTGGTCAGCCGACCAGCTTTATCTTTCTTTTGAGAAGGCCGGTTGGGTGACCAGGGAAACGTCTTCAAGAAAAATACAGCAAGTCCAGTTGCCTTGATTTGCTTTATACAGATATCCATCTGCTCAAACGACTTTTTAGAGCTTTTACGGAGCACCATATCAACACCAATTCTAAGAATTAATTCTCCCAACAACTTACCGATAACACCAAACCATGGCATCGCAATGCAGACACCTGAGGAAAAAATCAGAAGCATATTAATTGTAAATAAGATGGAATATCCTGAAGTGTATTCTGTGCCCTGGGTTATACTTCCCTCCATGAACATTGCCCTTCTACCAATAACAACTGCAAGTTCATGCAAATCTCGGCTGATTGTTATAATCCCAGTAACAGGTGACCACGGAATATTTAGTAGCCAGGAAATGTCACGGAACACCTGGATCCAATGATTTGGAGGGGCGTCCCAATACTTTTGGCAATATAGTGTATGTTTGAGTACAATTAGGGCGTTCTATACAAGCCACCGTCACATATACTGATATTTAGACGAAAAAAAACTAGTGAGGGCAGAAAGAAAATGGTATGTTGGCATCATGTGAGATTGGAAGAAAACAGATGGTTGGTCATTCTTAAATTTGAAGGCTTTATTCCATTAATAGTGTCATAGCATTTCATCAGAACCCCATTGTATATTGGTCTGACTTCACACACCCTAAGCTCAGTATATAGGGAGCTACAGCTCGCGGTATACTGATCATACGCCGCAGCCGGAGCGGATCCCGACATCGATAGTTAGGATATTTGGGTGCAGAGCTAAAGGTAAGTATTTAGGTAACTGCCACTTTTGGGGTTGTGGGGGGGAACATTTAACTTCAAGTAAAGTCCATAGCAATGTACACACAGCCCCCTGTCCACCATAGCAATGCACACACAGCCCCCATCCATCATAGACATGTGCACAAAGACCCTTGGCCACCATAGCAATGTACACATGGCCCCCTGACCACCATAGAAATGTACTCAAACCCCCGTCCACCATAGAAATGCACACACAGCCCCCTGTAGACCATAGCAATTCACACACAGCCCCCTGTAGACCACAGACACTCACCCCACAGCAACTGTCCCTTTGAGCCGGTCATCGTGTTGCAGATGGTCCGGCACTGAACTGTAGATGTTAAATAGAGAAGTTACAGATAAAAGGGTGACCACAGGCTGATTACATCGCAGTTCCTCACTCACATCTTCAACAAAAAGAAAGAAGAGGAGAATAAACATCTTGCAGGCTGATCATTTCCTCTTCTCTTCATAAAAAAATATTGATAGGATTGGAAATATGATTATGTTCTACATAACAAATCCAAGTGACCATCTCAGTCTGTCCAGTCCCCGGGCAATGGTGTACAAATACCTCCAGCGCTGGAGCCGGTACGAAGTCGGCACTTATCCTGAATGTCCGGAGCCGAGGCCGCTGGTTCCTGTCCATGTTCTTGTTCATCTCTTATTGTTTGTTGGGTATGAGAGAAATCCATCTGGACGATATGATGAACGAAACAATGTGTCACGGGGTACATATCAAAGTCCTCTCGAGAAAACCTATTTATTATGGGTTTCAAGTAATACACCCCCCTCAGCGGTGTCAGTGGCAGCAATAAACCCCAGCATTGCTGTCAGTGACAGTGGCAGCAATAAACCCCCCCAGGCAATGCCCCCTCTCACACCAATGAGAAAGAGTCCCAGGTAGGGTTGCCACCTGTCCAGGATTCACCCGGACAGTTCGGGTTTTGAATGCTGTGTCCGGGTTTCATGGCAGCAGAAACCCGGACACAAGATGTCAGGCAGACAGGAGCAACCAAAATTAAGATAGGGGCTACTGGGCCCCCCCACTGAAAATCTATAAAGTCTCAACTCTGATAGTTACATATGAATAACCCGCCACTCATTCTCACCAAAACATGTCTGCTCGTCGTTTGAGTGCTCGGGTTTCGCTTGAAGAAAAGGTGGCAACCCTAGTCCCAGGTGGCCATTTGTACGGGTTCCCCACAGAAGACATACCAAGCCATCAGGTCTACATGACCAACTGACCACCTCTGTTAAGGTGATGAACACAATATTGACACTCGGGAGCTAGCTGCAACACAAGACACCAAAACATTTGTCTTTATCGTGCCCTTAGCAGGTTTGTCTTCAGCCGCATAAAAAGAACATGATCAATAGACACGTGCGATTCGTTCTGAATCAAAATTCCGATGAATTTTCCAAAATTCGGACACATCCCAATTCCAGAATCCCAATGCATCCGAATGCGCCCGAATCCGAGTCGGACATGTGACTTTTCTGGCCAATCAGATGTTTTTTTCGGTTTAGTGCATCAGAATGGGTCTGAACACGAATTTTAGGTACGGCAACCTGGGAGCCATATACACTATATACATATAATACTAAAGCTGAGGCTCCCAGACCCGAATGGCATTCAGGATCCGAATTTCCGAATTGTATTGGGGAGCTCCCGAAAGCCATTGGGGTCTGGGAGCCTCAGCTTTAGATATACATTTATACGGCTCCCAGACCTGAATAGCATTCTGGAGCTCCCCAATGCAATTCGGAAATTCGGATCCCGGATGCCATTCGGGTCTGGGAGCTTCAGCATTAGTATTAATATCTGTAGATGGTTTTCTGTGGTATTCACAACGAATATTCGTAAACTCATCCGAAACTAACGAAAATTTGGATTTCGCCCGAAACATGAACCGGATTGGATTTCGGATCTGAATCCCAAAATAACGAAATATCCGAACTGAATTATTCCGCAGCTTACATGTCTAATGATCAATGCTTCTTTGGCAACTCAATAAACACCTGAACACAAAAGTCACTTCCACAGAATAATTTCCAGAAAGAAAATGAAAGTCCAAATGGCAGCAGCAATCTCACCCAGCCACGGAGGAATAAGTCCTCCTCCTGTCCATGCTGAACCCAAGGGAGCCTACACACCGAGGACTCCTACCTGGCAGGGACTCACCATAACGTTGGATCAATGAAGCGTCCATATTATCCCCTTTGTTTCTCTTTGGAAGTCCTTCGAGTGTATACTATACTTGTTTCCGGATCATCTAGTTTGTGTGGAGCACTAAGGCATCTATTTCGGATTGAGGGCCGATATTGCATCTCTACTTCTTTTATATATATATATAGTGCAATATAAATGGGTAAGCCGTATTAGTCCAGTAGACATCTTGATTATCAATAGACATT